TTAAAGTTTGGGATCAAATTTTGTGTTGCGGGAGCTGCTCGAATGGTTATAAAAAAATAATGAAAAAAAAGAAGAAACATTATTGAAGGGCGCTAAAGAGCGATATTGTTTAAAAGGGATCTACCAAGTTTACAAAAAAATAATAAAAATTACGCAGCTTACCATTGCTCTCCAGAAGATTGAGTGACCGCTAGATGCAATAGTAAGCTACGTATTTTTTATTATTTTTTAGCAAACTTGGTAAATCCCTTTTAAATAATATCGATCTTTAGCGCCCTTCACTAATTTTTCCTCTTTTTTTTCATTATTTTTTCATGTCCATTCAAGTGCTTCCCGCAACACAAAATTGATCCCAAATTTTAATGTATTTTAGGTCAAAAAGATCAAATTTAAACAAAAGTCGACGTTCAATAGATAGCCCACCCGGGCTTTAAAGAGTTTATTGCCGTCATATACATATATACAGCGTATGTACAAGTAGTAATACTTAATAGCTAGATCTCCAGCCCGTCGTTCTTTACCTAATATAATAAGACTTACTGTAAACTACTGATTTATTGTAGTTGGGGATGGCTGCAGAAAAATAGATGAATACGGAAAATAATGAGAATTTCAAAAAAACCCGATGATTGAGGATCCGACTCCTAGTCATTTCTTCATTTCACCTTTCTAATTCATTTCAATTCCACCGATTTCCCTGTTCCCCCCACGTTCACGTTTCAACCAATAATCTACAAAATTTCTCACGCACCTTTCCCGTATTTTTCTCTCCGTGTGGAAAATTGTGGGGTAATTTCAATACAAAAGACTGATCGTAAATTCAAAAGATTTATTTGCAGGTGTTTTCAGAATTCATTCGAGTTAACGAGCCGACAAGTTAACGAGTAACAATGATGGGACTAGAATATAAGATGGAAAATCCGACGAAGCCATGGAGCCGATGCCAGGAACCATCAGCACTTTTCCTGGTTCAACCTTTATTGGTTTTATGGAATTGGGCTGGAGTCTCCCTTCACCTGTGTTGCAGAGATCTGTTGCGCAGGCATGATAGAATGTTCTGTGCGTCGAGTCATTGACCTCTACATTTATGTACTGAGGAGTTTCTTGACAGGTACGTTGAAATTGCACTAGGGTATGAGGTGGATCGATAAGTTCTCGACGAAAAATGGTGCAGTATGTCATGTCACAACCGCTAGCAACTCCATTGTCTAGTATACAGGAATCATATGCAGATGCTGCGGTGCAGTAATAACATATCAAACCTGAAGATGAGGAAATCAAATTCTATATTTCATGTAAATCTCCACATTCCAGGTATTGCTGGGGAAAATAGCGATCGACGTTCAGGGAAAAAATCTTCGCTTAGGGTAGCGCCTTTGAATATTACGGAGAGTCAAAAATAAAAAATGGAAGAAAACAGCAGTATAATTAAACGAATAAACTAAATTCGCGAAAACACTGGCATTAATTACAATTTTTATCATTTTTAATGTCAATTGTTTATTCGAATTTCAATAAATTCAATCCTAATTTCAATAAATTCAATTCTAATTCCAATGAATTCAATTCTAATTCCAATAAACTCAATTCTGATTTCAATAAATTCAATTCTAATTTCCATAAATTAAATCCTAATTTCAATTAATTCAATTCAAATTTCAAAAAATTCGATTTTAATTTCAATAAATCTCAATTCAGTAAATTTTTAATTATTAAATAACTTAGAGAGTAACAAAAATCTTAAAATTCTCCTGGAATTTTTTAACAAATGATGTTCTGACGTTGTAATACTCTTGATAAAATCTTGTTTACTGGTAATTAATCTGTATTTTCGATATTTCTCAGTGGATAAGATATCATTTGAATTGACCAAAACTAATCACTGGACTTTTTAATACCTTTTCAAACAAAATGTGTACTTTTGAAAATGCAGTTTCTCCTACGTCTCAAGGAAAACAATCAAGAAGTTTCACTCCACTCTCAATTGATTGTTTAAACTTTCCGGTTCAAGAGAAAATTTCAACTAACTGTTGAGTAGAAATCGAAACACTGAACAACAATTATCATTGAATTGTAACCAAAAACAAATCATTCATTATTCCATTTACCGTTGGCAGAATTAATCCCCAGGAATCCCAGAATAATAAATGATATTATCATTATTTATTCATAAAATGGCTTCGGTTGTGATGGTGAATAGACAATACAAAGAACTGAACTAGCTGCTGTAAAAAATATCCAAGACCATGAATTGGTTATCAAGAAAACGGATAAGATATCTTCTAATCTATTGAACGAATTTTTTTTCTTATGTCATGTTCACCTTTAGGAAGTAACCAAACTATTAATTAATGGAGTACCTCGGAACAGATCGATTAAGAATTACTGTATCACGATTTAATTTGATTTTTTATTGAGTTTTCAATGAGTAAATGATCCGTGTCCGAAATGCGGACAGTTGTTCTTCGGTTTTGGGATGATTCCTCTCTTCTTTTCGTCTAGAGCTGATATATCATGGGCTAATTGGCAAGCTCATTAAATAAGCGTTAAGAAATTGCCTGAATTATGGGGTTCGCGATATTTTTCATGGAGTTATTGCGGTTGGAACGTGAAAACGTGAATTTCATGTTTTGCCGAAATTTCCGAGGAGTGATTCATTGGTGAAATCATAGTGTGACCTTGGATTGGAATCACATGAAATCAGTCCTGAAATCATGTGAAATCATGAGGAATCGCGTGAAATCTGTGGAGTATGATTTCATCGATTTCAAGTGATTTCTTATGAAAAAATCGATCGTAATAATCCATTATTCAACATTTCACTTTTTTCAGAATTTAATTACACTTGATTGAAAAAAAATGATGAATTCTTATGTAGGGAATTTCAGGATCAGAAGCAAAAAATGAGGGACTCCAGTTAGATGGCGTTTGAAATCTTTCATATTTTCATGTGAATTTTCAAATGAAATCACTTGAAATCATTTGAAATTTTCCAATCCAAAAAGCATTGATGAAATCACAGTATCATCTTGAATTACAATTACATGAAATCTATCCTGAAATCAGTCCTGAAATCATGAGAAATCATATGATTTCATCGATTTCATATGAAATCTTTGATATTTTCATATGAATTTTCATATGAAATCACTTGAAATCATTTGAAATTTTCCAATCCAGAATTCATTGATGAAATCACATTGTCATCTTGAATTACAATCACATGAAATCAGTCCTGAAATCATGAGAAATCACTTGAAATCTGTGGAATAAGATGATTTCATCGATTTCATATGAAATCTTTGATATTTTCATATGAATTTTCATATGAAATCACTTGAAATCATTTGAAATTTTCCAATCCAAAATTCATTGATGAAATCACATTGTCATCTTGAATTACAATCATATGAAATCAGTCCTGAAATCAGTCGTGAAATCATGAAAAATCACTTGAAATCTGTGGAATCATATGATTTCATCGATTTCATATAAAATCTTTGATATTTTCATATGAATTTTCATATGAAATCACTTGAAATCATTTGAAATTTCCCAAATCAAAAATAACATATCTGCAAATATAAATATATACATACTCTAAAGACCTCAACGACCTCGTTATAATGTAATTTAAATTTCTCACTTGCATTGATTTGATCAAGAGTTATCGATGATCGAATTTAACGTGTTACATTTCAAAAATTATTAATTCTGTTTAAATAAAATCCATAATAGTTATTCTCGCTAATAATAATGTTCTTCATTCTAATTCACATCCGACCTATCAAGCATGTAATCCAAAATAGCAAAAAAGTAATAAGTATTGAAATTTGTAGATTACTAAAATATATTATTAAAAATTATATTAAAAAATATTGACCATTGATTATTTCAATTAATATTAACCGCATTGTTATTCAATTATTATTAAATGATAATTGAAAATTCAATAGCAGCAATTGATTGCAATAAAAAATCAATATTAACCGGATTATATTAAATTGTTGCTGTTTATAATTCGAATTTTGCATTTAAACAAATCTACTTGTATCGAAATAATAATGGGTTTTTCCGTTCAATTGTATCCGTTCAAATATAAAAATCTCTAGAATAGCCGCATCCTCTAATCGAATTCAAAGGATTGTGCATTTAATTCCACAAAATAATTATTATCCATACAATTTCCAAATGCCTTACAAGAATAATTGGTAATTGCTGTGACTAGCTCGTCCGTTCCGTACGACTGCTACAAATTAAAAAAAAAAAAAAAAGCATAAAAAGGGAAAATGGCTGTCAGCAAAAAATAGACAAAACGCTCGGAAGAGATAAAAAACCTAACAATTAGAATAGGAAGTAATTTGAAGCGTTTTTTTTTTTTCGATCCAGCGCTGATTTCATAGAATGTACGATGTATACATTCCCCTCTTGACGGCACGGGGAAACTCCCGCGTATTGGAGAAGGCCATCACTATTATTCATTTCTCGGCTGGATGTCCACGTTAATTCACCTGTTCACACTTTAGTGTCACAAAAAAAACCATTAACTAGATTTCGTAATGAAAATATTAGGTGACGTCTCGTTACCCTTGACGTATATCCAGAGGACATATAAATTCGCGGGCGTTCAGGCATTGAGTCATTGGTGATTTGAAGTTACTGCAGGCATATGATTCGAATATTATTCAAGAAATAATCGGGGAAAAATGATTAATTTTAGTGTTGAGCTGTTAGTGATTGTGATAATTCTTGTGCAACAGATCGTCACCCAAACTACGCCGACTTTTTTTTTTGATGTTTCAAGTACAGTTTTTTTTATTGTTATTGAAAGTTTTCTTTTCTGCGTGGTTTGATCGTGTGATTTTTTGAGTCCATTTTTTGGTGGTTTTCGTTGATATTAATTGATTTTTATTAATTTTTAATATTAAAATTCATTGAATTGAAATTTCGGAGAAATACCCCTGGATAAATATATATTTGCAGTTTTACGGTTTTTATTTTGGTGGATTGTAATTAATTTATGTCATTATCCGGTTTGGAGTAAAAAAAAAACTAAAAAATGAAAGAAAATTTGAAAATTGAAATTCTCAGTCAAAAACAAATGAAAATTTCTGTGAGATGGCTCTAAAAAATTGTTCATTTTATAAGAACAAATTAAAGTGATTGAAAATTTATTTGACTGAGAGAACGAATTTTGATAAATGTTTGAAAATATGAGGTGGCCGCGTCGCCATCTTGAACACCAGAGGGCAGACGTATCAAGCAAAATGGCGGGCTGTTACTCACCTCGTATTTTAGAGCATTTATTACGATTATTTCTCTTCTTCAAATGAACCTCAAGTCGTTTTATTCTGTTTCCACAAAATGAACAAATTTTTTAAGTTATTTCCCTTAAATTTCAATGTATTTTCCATTTAATGTTTACATTCAATTACGACGCATCTTGATAGATTATTTTAAGGAGAACGAGTGAATATAACTTTTTCATCACGATGTGCTGAAAAGTCACTTTACGGCACGTCGTGATGAAATCGTATATTTCATAACAAGTGCGGAAAAGTGATTTTTGACGTGTGGGAGGTTTATAGCACGAGCTCAAAAGTTACTTTTCGGCACATCGTGATGAAAAATATTCACAACTCGTGTAGAAAGTTGTTTTTATCGCTTTTCCGCACTTGTTACGAAATATATTGTTTCAATAATTACTTTCGTAATTCTTTCAGCTACAGCTAAACCTACGCCCAGTGGACTTAGATGTCAGTGTGTTCCTGCGGGAACTTGTAACCCAACCCCTGGCATCGACATAAGAATCGTCAATTTGGTGAGTAATTAAAATTCTAAATCGTAAATTACAATTTAAAATTAGCAAAAATCGCTTAAAAAATTATGCCAACATATAATACAGTTAACAATAATAGCTTCTGTAATTATCTGTTAATTCCACACGGAGAGAAATAATTAGTAAAAATTACGGAAGTTTCAGTTTGCTTACCGATTACGGAATCGACTCGGAAAATTAGAGTGACGGTACCGTAATTTTTCACTGATAATTCAGATAAAAATTCTGTAAAATTTCCCACAATTACATTTCGCTCCGGAATTACGGAAAAGACAGGTAATTTTCATTGATTATTTTTTTCATCCCAATTTCAACCAATCAAATGGTGGCATTTCCCGTCACATGGTACAAGTAAAACGGTTTTACTTCGGATATTTTTCGAATATTTCTCTGTTTGTTGCTGAGCAATGAAAATATCCGATAAACAATTTGTACGCGTTTCAAACCCCAAAACTGGTTGTAAAAATTGAAAATTGAGATTTCCTAATAAAACCGTTTTACTTATACCATATGACGTGAAATGCCACACATTTAATTGCTTGAAATTGAAATGAAAAAAATAATCCTGCCAAATACCCCTCGACCTTCAAAATTAATCGGATATTTCCCTCCAGTTTCTCGGCGTATCACCGATCGGGTTAAATTTCACAGGTTAAAAATCCCGAGCGCTATGCAAACGGTCAAGTTACCGTGGTGCGTGTGAATAGATACTATTTTACTAACCACAAGAAAATATATCTGGCATTAGTAAGTCCTTACTTACACAGTGATTATCAGATTTACTGATAGTTAGTAAATATTATTGGCCAAAGAAAATTTTTTTCTCAGTTTACACGTTCCAAAAATTGTTTCCAAAAATTATCTTCAAAATCTTTTTGGATTGAGATATCTCAAATTTCAGCGATTACACCGTATCCATTCAGAAGTACCACAATAATAATAAAATTAGAATCACTGAACTCACCAATAGATTTATCATGTATTATGAATCCTTATTTTCAGACACTTTCAGCTCTCTGAGCCCCTGATTTTTCCGCTTGACGTCCCCATATGCTACACCATTTTGAAGCTTATAAAATCAGCTTTAAAATGGTCCTGACTTCATCTCCATATTTTCATCACCACTGAATTTATAACGTCTATAAGCATCGGTTTGAGTGTAAAATACCACGTCCTATCCGCACTTTTTGTTGGATTACAACAATAACAATATTTCAATAACAACAATAATATATAATAATAACTACAATACCAATATTTCAATCATGTATATGGTGTAATAATTATTATTATTTTAAGGGTATTCAATTGTCGATGACTACCAATGAAAAATTAATTTTCTTCCGATTCTAATATCAATTATGAATATACTAATATCAAGTATAAAATATACTTGATTCAAGTATTTATTTTTTTCTAGCTCGGGCAGTTTCACTTTAAAAATTCAAGTGAATTGTAAAAAAATCGTTCTCGATTCCATTCCATTGTCGCCTTAGTTAACAATAAAAAAATACTAAATAATAATAAAAATACCAAATGGATTTTCAGGGATCGAATTGCTCGGCAGGACAAGTCTGGTGCTGCGGGAATTCACCCATCACAAGTTCTTGTGGTACGCGAAAAGTCACTAATGCGTCACCTCAACCCACAGGAACAGCTAGATATGGAGCTTACCCTTGGCAAGTGGCTCTTTTGACACTTGACAACATGTACATAGGTTCTGGAGTACTTATCGACGCAAATTATGTGCTCACAGTGGCTCATAAAATCCAGCCTTATCGGTGAGTAATTGCAGTCTCAAAGCCCAAGGAAATTTAGCTTCACGGAAATTGCATATTAACATATTAACACCCGATAAATAAATAAACAAAATGATGTTGAGTCTTGAGAGCTTGAGTTTTTGATAGAAGAAAAATTGTCAATCGATTTTTCTCAGTTCTGGAAACTTCAAACTACGTTTTGGCGATTGGGATGGACGATCTACAGTCGAGCCAAATCCATACGTGGAATTGCGCTCCCAGGGAGTAGCAATACATCCGAATTTCAATTCTCAAAATCTCCAAAACGACGTGGCACTGATTCGGCTGAATGGAACGGCACCCATTACCACAGCTCCCAACATAAACACAGCTTGCTTACCATCCGGAATGCCAACAACTGGAACGAGGTAAAACTATCAATTAGAATTAAGATCTCAATCGCAGCATGAACCATTAAACTCACCTCTCATTATTTTATTTTTATCCTTTAATTGATTTTTCAAGGTGCTGGGTCAGTGGATGGGGAAAGAATGCCTTTGGAAGTGATGGAAATTATCAGCCACTTCTGAAGGAAGTTGATGTACCCATTGTGGATCAAGGAAGTTGTGAAACTCGACTTCGTGGCACGAGATTGGGATCTTTTTTCGCTTTAGACAGAGCGAGTTTCATCTGCGCTGGAGGTGAACAGGGAAAAGATGCCTGCACTGTAAGTACTTTCTGCCATTTTTTCTGATCTAAAAACAAAGCGTACCCTCTCCAGATTCCACTTTTAAAATTCTGTGGTGCGTTCCACTCAATTTTACGCTATTCTTGGGCTTCATCTGAATTTTTTTTTGCATATTTATTATTGTTATGTAACAGATTATATGGTATATCAATTCAAGAATTGTGGAACGAGCTGCAATATGATCAGAGAATGATTCTGTTTAATTGAAGTTGTGCTGAGATATTGAACAGAATCATTCGTTTTGATTTTATATCAATTATTATCTGATTTTTTCACATGCTGATTGATTTGCGAGAGGGATTCATCGGATATTCATTTTAATTTATGTAACTTTCTTTCTGCTCCGCACGAATGGCAACAGAAATGATATTGCCCTGATGAGAGAGGACGTCTTTAGGCTAGTCGTCAGCGTGCTGGCCCTATGACCAAAGCGTCCCGGTAGCGCAGGTTCGAGTCCCGATGGTGAAAAATTTTTCATCGTCGGAAAACGAACCCAGTGCCTGTGGAAGTTAGTTATAACGTAGCTAGATGAAAAGTGCGGGTAGGGAATTAGGTTGGGGTACCGCGTAGGTACTGGGAAAGGGTTGGTAAAAGACCCACTAGGGTCATACCATCTGGCACAACCCATTTATATCTATCTTATTGCCCTGATGAGGAACACACGAAGTGTTCGAAATGTTGGAAACATTGAAGACAATTCAATTTTCTGCTAATTTATGACCGTTCATGGTCCCAATAGAAGTGTTATTCATTGATATTCATTTGAAAAAATCAAAATAATTTTTTCTTAATATTATTCTATAAAGGCTGTAGCCTGAGAAATAAATCTGACACTTGTATAAGAATTCGGTTGATGTTAATGAGGCGCCATAATTAAGCCAGAATGCTGTTACATTAGAAACAATTAAATACTGATTAGTAGTTACCGAACGATTCAGTTAGGAATCGGCATGAACAGCCAATTGACGATTTGGTAATCATTACTGGATTATTAATTCACCGGAAAAACAGATTGCTCGCTGATGAGTCATTATGATTCAGAATAATGCATGAAATAAACGTAGGCTGGCAATAGTATCATACCGATCTTTGCGAGCTATTTATCCTTATTCCTTATTATGAAAGTAGAAACACAAAAATGAAGTTCGTCCAAGTCGAAATATCTCGAAACGCATAGGACTAATTGCTCATTGGTCAAGTCGAACCGCCAAATTCAAATTCGGCGCACGGAGTGCGCAGTCGGTGTCGTCTTTTTTATGTCTTTTTTATGTCTTTTTTATGAAAGTAGAAACACAAAAATGAAGTTCGTCCAAGTCGAAATATTTCGAAACCCGTAGGACGTATTTCTCATTGGTCAAGTCGAACCGCCAAATTCAAATTCGGCGCACGAATGCGCAGTAGGTCCCATCCTTTTTATGAAAGTAGAAACACAAAAATGAAGTTCGTCCGAGTCGAAATATCTCAAAGTGTGTAGGACGTATTTTTCATTCGTCAACTCGAACCGCGAAATTCAAATTCGGCGCACGAATGCGCAGTAGGTCCCGTCCTTTTTATGAAAGTAGAAACACAAAAATGAAGTTCGCCCGAGTCGAAATATCTCGAAACGCGTAGGACTAATTCCTATAGGTCAAGTCGAACCGCCAAACTCAAATTCGGCGCACGGAGTGCGCAGTAGTGCGCGGTATCGTAAGGATTAAATTGCACTACACCAAACACTTTTTTTCAAGTTATGATTTTTGAAAATGAATTCAGATAAATCAATCAAATCACGACTCATTGCCAACTTCATAATTCTCTATGAATAGTATAAAAACCCTTTAACAGGCACCTCTGATTCTGATAAAAATGATAATTCAATGTTTAAGGTGTCTCTCCAATACGCAAATAAAAACAGATACAGTCAGTGATTTTGGACGATATGAACTAGTGTTGTTGGATTTTGAATTAGGCAGGAAGGGAGCCACTATAATTCTCGATATAATTTCACAAGAAAAATTTACTGAATAAATGAACAAGCCCAGACCGGGATTTATTTTATTTAAAACTATTTTATAGTTATAAACAAAATTATTTTATTTTAAACCTGGAACCTTCCGATTACGCATCGGGTGCTCTCCCAACTGAACTATCCAGTCCCCAGCCATTTCTACATTTCCGATTTCTTGTACATATATTCCACCAAATATATATTATAAAAGCGAATTGAAAGAAAGGTTCAACTCAATTCATTAGGTAACATCAACCGAATTCTTTTATCAATGCATAAATCATCGAGTTGAAAAGAACAATTGGAAGCAACTGAATAAACACTGTACATTTTTAATTAATAAAGTAAGTTAACAAAATAGAAATCCTCTTCGTGGGGACATTCAATGGTTTTGCCATTTCTTTCGAAACAAAATAACTCGCAGTGATTTATCTGATTGTCATGACACGAACATCCGTGATTTCAGGGAGACGGTGGGGCACCTCTTGTCTGTCAATCCCCAAACGGACAGTTTCAAGTAATTGGTCTCGTCGCATGGGGCATAGGTTGTGCATCATCCGGAATTCCCGGTGTTTACGTCAACGTCAACAACTACCTCCAATGGATAAATCAGCAAATGACAGCTCTGGGCTAAAAAAAAAATCACCTCAACCTCCAATTTAAACTAGCAAAGATACTCATTAATTTCAATAACAAATTATTTTTTTTATCAATAAATCTGTTAATTAATAAAACACCGACTAAGGTCTGACGAATAAAATTTATATTTTCTCCAAGTTATTTATAACATTGGCTTATAAATACTCTTCTCATCACTTTTGCTCATTTTCTCTCATTGCTATTTACAGTGAAATTTAACCTAATGATTCATCTTTTCCATTTTCTCCTGAATAACGGAATGAGAAAATTTTTTTTTATTCTAACGACGAGTCTCCGTGATTTTTATTTCTCTCTCTTTCAACGACAAACCACTCCTGATACGCGATTCGTTTTTTTTTTATTCTCTTTTCAACATATACAAATATAGTTTACTCTTGAGAACGATTGATTGTTTTGTTCTCGTTAACGTCACGTTACAATTTCTGATCAATAGACAATAAATCTCAATTTCATTCTTTCATTTACTTAAATCGTTTCCAATCGATTTATCATTCCAACCGTCTGCATTAAATTATCATGAAAACTTGAGCTCCTCCTGGGTATTATTACCATTTTATTCATGTGATTAAATCAAGTGAATAAAAAAATTATGCGGATTTTTAATCTATTTTTGTGTAAAAAAATAAAATAATAAATGCATTGACGAGTGGATTTACCACTAGAAATTTTAGCAAAGATAATTCAATGGTTTTTTTGTGCTAGGATTTGGATAAAATTATTTTAAAGGACAGGAGGAGCATAAGTTTTGACGATGTAAATATTTTTTCTTAATACTTGGCATAAGCAAACGTCGCCGGAAAAATGCTTGAGAGTGTGCGAAATATTACTTCAATTTTCTCACGACCAATTTTACAATTTGGCAGTATTTCTAATTGAATTATCATACGGTATTTCACATTTTTCTCTAATCAAGGAGGTAGAGTTACAGTTTAGTAGTGAAATGGTAAATGACAGCCGAAGATTCGTGAAAGGATTAGCTAATTACCTCCAATAGAGATATTCGCTAAATAATCTGCATAAAATTTAACGAATCCTCGTCTTTTACCACTCCTCAACGTTTAGTCTTTGCATCATTGCTCTGAAGATTTTTCATATTTTGTTAAGTGCATTTTCACTTTAGTTTCAGCTACTTAAAAAATTTTACAAAATATATCTTGCCTAGAGAGACTATTTCAGCGATGAAACGAGTCGAGTGGAATAAAAAATTTCGGGTAATTACTCCGTTATCGTGAAAATTATCGATTTTACGTAAAAATGTGAAAGAGCATTTTTTGTGGGAAATTTTATCCTCTAGAAAAAAGGTCTCTTGACATTGCATCATGAAGTCACTCAATACCGAGATAATTCCACCATCAACAATTAGAGACACATGATAACGACTCGACTCATTTTACCCCATCACGGCATATCTCCTCGTGTTTCTTATTCCATTCCTATATAAATCGGGAATAATTCAGAGTTCATGAAGCTACATTTGATCATTAATTATTTGCTTAATGTCTGTCATATGAAAAAGAGCCACTAAAAACTGTCAAACGAATTTGTCAAGAAATCAAGACCTTCTCTCTCTGTCACTAACGAACTAAAATTGATTGACTTCACCCATTAATTCCAACGAACATTCAATTCTACTTATGTAGGAGATAACCTCGTTAGTGAATGCAAATGACATCGATGGAAAAATACTGAAATTCACACAAATCAATCTAATTATAATGGAGGAGATAATGTAACTCTATAGAGCCTCAAAGCCTTTGTTCTTTTTTTATTATTTAGAATTATCACGAACTTCCAAGAATTAGCAACCCCAATCACTTGTGATTTTTGTCAATGAAAAATCCACAATTTGTTCGAGAAATTACAGATTATTGTTAATTTGTAGAAATAAAAATACAATACGAAATGAAAAAATTGAAATGTCAACGTACAACTAATACACGACGAGAACCTCAATGGAGCAATAGCTGTAATCCACAAAATATTTTCCATAAACGCAAAATTTAATATTGTTTCTCGTGAAGTTTGGTACTTAAACGCCTTTGGCAGTCAACGTACAGACGAAGTTCTTTCAATATTAAGAATAACCCCTGTCAAAAATGTTTACTAAACTAAAATTGTGTACTCTCGTACTCGAAGACAGTTCGATAATCTAGAAATCAATATTTTCTGTACAATAGTCTAACTAATACGTCTCTCAACGCCGTGAGAATCCAAATCAGTCATGAATTGGTAAAAAGAGATGAGTTTGAAATTCAAGTCTTCACTATATCGTGAGTAAACTGTTGAGTTCATTTCTAGATTATTTTCAGGGCTATATTTTTCTACAAACTCAATGGTTTACGGAATATTAAAAGGCCTCGGAGATGAAAAAAAAGTTGCTGAAATGCAAGTGAAATTTTGTTCTCTCAATTATCAGCGAAGGAGAGACAGAAATTTATGCAAGATGGCTTTAAAAAATTGTTCACTCCACAGAAACGGAATGCCACAAACGGAATTTCATATAATAACATTCAATAATATTTATAGCTATTTAAAAGTCCGAAGTGAGGACACCGTCATCTTTGAAATCGCTGGAGGCGGGGAACGCCCACAAGATGGCGGCGTCTATGTTCCCCGTTCACCTCGCGTTTTCAAAGGTTTATTAAAATTGTTTATAAACTTCAAATCGCCCCCGACCCACCCCATCCTGTTCCTCCAAAAAGAACATATTTTTAAAACCAATCGGCGAAATTCTTTATCGTATTTAGACTGAGAAATCGAGGCGCAAAGTTATCCCCGCATTTCAGTAATTTTTTTTTCTCTTTTTCCAAGGCCTTTCAACGAAGTAAAGAAAGTAGTTCCTAGAATAATCTCAATTTATCATTTCACCAGAGAAATGAGTTAGACGAATGTAATAAAATCTACTCTACGTTTTTATCATCACAATGAGTTGAAAGCAAAAAATCATGACACCCGGAGCAATAGAGGTGAGTGCAAAAAAGAAATATTATTAATTTATAGCATTTTGTACACATATCGACGATGTGATTTGTCTTTTGCACTCGCCTGGAAGGGAAGTCGGTATTCTCTTTTATTTAATACGTTTTCGCACTGAATCACTCGGCACACACACGATTCTTAATTTATTTAGATTTTCCTTCGCTCTTTTGTGATTTGTTTTTAAATTTTAATTGATGAGCTTCAGACCTTTGGACTGCTCTGATGGGTCAGTTGGACGGAGTGGTGCGAGACAGGCGGTGATAGTAAATGTCCACGTTCCATCTCATTGACTTCCTGCTGATCACCACCACCAATTGATATTGTTGATCGTGCCAAGCTGTTACGCTGCCGACACATGTAGGGAGTCTCACCGGGTGATGGAGTTTCACGTCCCTGTCATTCAGAAAAAACAAGTGGAGAATTTCATTACATGTTGTTTGCAATCATCTTAAAATTTTTATAAAATCTCATTGAAAAGTTTTTTTCAGACATAATCGAATTGATTTCAAATATGAGAAACAAGGAAAACCAAAATAGATGAACATATCAGGAAGCTGACAAAAAAAACCAATGGAAAATTCGAAAGTGAAAACAAGTTGATAGATTGATTTTTAAAAATCACATCGCATTTTTCGAAAACCATGAAAATTTAAATATCTTCATATTTTTCTCCGAACGCGTAAATCTCTTTGCTTCATCTCAATAGGGCATAATGTAACTAATAGAAATAATGTAACGAAAAGAAATCGTTTCAGATACAAAGTTGAATATCTTTTGAACGAATCATCCGATCTAGCCCATCTGCAATACCAAACATCTCAATCAAAATCTTTCTGCCGAATTTCAAGTTGATAGATTGATTTTAAAAAATCAGAGAGGGAGTATGTCGCATTTTTTTAATATGAAAATCGAAATATACCAAAGACTTTGGAGGAACACATATATATACATATATATATATTCTGACTGATCCATATAGAGCATAGACATTGAGACGAACATTTCAAAAGAATAAAAGAATAAGAGATGTAAGCGATGTATTTTCAAAAAACTTTTCAGAAACAATCCCAGATATTTCAAAAACTACTTGACCGATCGGGCTGAAATTCAGCACAGATGGAGTCCATATTAGAACCTATGAACTGACCAAATTTCAGATTTTTGGGAATTAATTTATCCGTTTATTCTTCAAACTTCGTATTTTTACGTTTCAGACCATTCTACGTCATTTCCAGGGAAAATTAGAGAATCAAAAAATCGAAAGATTGCCATTCCATTCAGAAGCAAAAATCGGAAAAATTATTTCAATGTCTAGCCATATTATATTATACATATATTATATTATATTGTAAATTATTTCAATATATAGCCATGGTAATTATATCACAATTTCCATATTTTGGATGGGAACTATCGTTTTAACTTCTAATCATAATCGATTGGAGTAGAATAGCCTGTGACGAGTCCAAAATTCAAATATTTCCGAAATACAATTTTTGGCTTATCTCCATCTTCTAATTAAATTCGATAACGAAACAGATTTTTTGAACCCTCATTAAAATATTTCATAACATTTTTCGTTCAGTTATCGCAAAAAACTGATTTTTTAATAGAAATAAAAGTTAAAAAATTAAATAGATGAATGGAATTTTTATTTTTAATTCGGGAGCCTGGGATCAAACCGTGGGGTTCTTCATTGGTGGAATGACTTTATGACCTTGAATTAAAATCAGTCCAGAAATCACGTGAAATCATTAGAAATCATGAGAAATCACGTGAAATCCGTGGAGTCGGATGATTTCATCGATTTCGAATGATTCCATATGAAATCACTTGAAACCATTTGAAATCAGTCAAGTCATTTGTCATATTCCGAATTTCGTTCACTAGTTCTCAGCGAACGTTCTTTCAGTAAAAAAGAAAAAACAAATTTTGCTTAAATGATGAAATGGGAAATTAAAAATCAATTGAAATCATTTGAAATCATCAAGTCGGAAGGAAAACCTCTTGAAATCACTTGAAATAACGTGAAATCAATCAAATACTGAATAATGAATAATATTTTTCACTTTCTTCAAATGGAAAAATTAGTTTCATAATTCCTGGACATCTGTATGCTTACTATTTAAGTAAAAATAATGCCAGGGTGTCACGGTCCGATTTCGTAATCAATCGATGCCACTAGTTGATTCATCATCGGAATATTTCAATGACCTATTAATGCTCGCTTTAAATTCATGAGATCAATTTCAATCAGAATGTTTTTATTGTTATTTTATTATTGAAATGGTGAAGTCTAAATCGGTGGGTGACAAGTTCATTAATAATCATTTAAGGCCCAGTCGAACTATCTATCGAATGTCATCTTTTGTATAGATTTTATCTTTTTAGCCTAAAATACATTAAAATTTGAGATCAAATTTGTGTTGCGGGAGCTACTCGAATGGTTATAAAAAAATAATGAAAAAAAAAACAGGAAAAATTATTGAAGGGCGCTAAAGAGCGATATTGTTTAAAAGGGATCTACCAAGTTTACAAAAAAATAATAAAATTACGCAGCTTACCATTGCTCTCCAGAAGATTGAGTGACAGCTAGATGCAATAGTAAGCTACGTATTTTTTATTATTTTTTAGCAAACTTGGTAAATCCCTTTTAAATAATATCGATCTTTACCGCCCTTCAATAATT